TAGACCAAAAAGGAAATAATAATCATCAATCTGTATGCACCCAAGGTCAACGCACCCAATTTCATCAAACATACCTGAAAGACCTAAAAGCATATATAAACAACACAGTGGTTGTGGGAGACTTTAACACTCCATTATCATCAATAGATAGGTCATCAAACAAAAAAATCAATAAAGAAATCCAAGATCTAAAATATGCAATAGATCAAGTGGACCTAGTTGATGTCTACAGAACATTTCATCCAACCTCTACACAATATACATTCTTCTCAGCAGCCCATGGAACCTTCTCCAAAATAGATCATATCCTAGGGCACAAAGGAAGTCTCAGCAAATATAAGAAAATAGAAATTATACCGTGCATACTATCTGATCACAATGCAGTAAAAGTAGAACTCAACAACAAAAGTAAAGACAAAAAACATGCAAACAGCTGGAAACTAAATAACTCATTACTTAATGAAGAATGGATCATCAATGAAATAAAAGAGGAAATTATAAAGTTCCTGGAAGTCAATGAAAATGAAAACACAACCTACCGGAACCTATGGGACACAGCTAAGACAGTCCTGAGAGGAGAGTTTATAGCCATGAGTGCATATATTAAAAATGAGGAGAGAAAAAACCCAAATTAGTAGAATCAGGAATGTAAAAGGGGAGATAACAACAAACACCATGGAAGTCCAGGAAATCATCAGAGACTATTTGAGAACCTATATTCAAATAAATTTGAAAATCTTAAAGAAATGGACAGATTTCTAGATACATATGATCATCCAAAATTGAACCAAGAGGAAATTAATCACCTGAATAGACCTATAACACAAAATGAAATTGAAGCAGCAATCAAGAGTCTCCCCAAAAAGAAAAGTCCAGGACCTGATGGATTCTCTGCTGAATTCCATCAGACCTTTAAAGAAGAACTGATACCAACCCTCCTTAAACTGTTCCACAAATAGAAAGGGAAGGAAAACTGCCAAACACATTTTATGAAGCCAGTATTACACTTATCCCAAAACCAGGCAAAAACACCTCCAAAAAGGACAACAATAGGCCAATCTCCTTAATGAACATTGACGCAAAAATCCTCAACAAAATAATGGCAAACTAAATTCAACAACACATCAAAAAGATTATTCACCACGACCAAGTAGGTTCATCCCAGGGATGCAGGGGTGGTTCAACATATGAAAATCAATAAATGTAATAAACCACATTAATAGAACCAAAGCAAAAAGCACTGGATCATCTCAATAGATGCAGAAAAAGCCTTTGATAAGATCCAACATCATTTCATGATAAAAGCGCTAAGAAAACTAGGAATAGAAGGAAAGTACCTCAACATTATAAAAGCTATATATGACAAACCTACAGCCAGCATTATACTTAACGGAGAAAAACTGAAACCATTCCCTCTAAAATCAGGAACCAGACAAGGATGCCCACTATCTCCACTCCTATTCAACATAGTACTGGAATTCCTAGCCAGAGCAATTAGGCAAGAAGAAGGAATAAAAGGAATACAAATAGGTAAAGAAACTGTCAAAATATCCCTATTTGCAGACAATGATCTCTATACCTTAAAGACCCAAAAAACTCACTCAGAAGCTTCTAGACATCATCAATAGCTATAGCAAGGTAGGGATATAAAATCAACATAGAAAAATCATTAGCATTTCTATACACTAACAATGAGCAAACTGAAAAAGAATGTATGAAAACAATTCCATTTACAATAGCCTCAAAAAAAATCAAATACCTAGGTGTAAACCTAACAAAGATGTGAAAGACCTCTACAAGGAAAACTATACACTTCTGAAGAAAGAGATTGAGGAAGACTATAGAAAGTGGAGAGATCTCCCATGCTCATGGATTGGTAGAATCAACATAGTAAAAATGTCGATACTCCCAAAAGTAATCTACATGTTTATGCAATTCCCATCAAAATTCCAATGACATTCATTAAAGATTGAAAAATCTACTGTTAAATTTATATGGAAACACAAGAGGCCACGAATAGCCAAGGCAATACTCAGTCAAAAGAACAATGCAGGAGGTATCACAATACCTGACTTCAAACTATATTACAAAGCAATAACAATAAAAACAGCATGGTACTGGCACAAAAACAGACATGAAGACCAGTGGAACAGAATAGAGGACCCAGATATGAAGCCACACAACTATAAGCCAACTTGTCTTTGACAAAGGAGCTAAAAATATACGATGGAGAAATAGCAGCCTCTTCAACAAAAACTGCTGGGAAAACTGGTTAGCAGTCTGCAAAAAACTGAAACTAGATCCATGTATATCACCCTATACCAAGATTAACTCAAAATGGATCAAGGATCTTAATATCAGACCACAAACTCTAAAGTTGATACAGGAAAGAGTAGGAAATACTCTGGAGTTAGTAGGTATAGGTAAGAACTTTCTCAACGAAACCCCAGCAGCACAGCAACTAAGAGATAGCATAGATAAATGGGACCTCATAAACTAAAAAGCTTCTGTTCATCAAAAGAAATGGTCTCTAAACTGAAGAGAAACCCACAGAGTGGGAGAAAATATTTGCCAACTATACATCAGACAAAGGACTGATAACCAGAATTATAGGGAACTTAAAAAACTAAATTCTCCCAAAACTAATGAACCAATAAAGAAATGGGCAAGTGAACTAAACAGAACTTTCTCAAAAGAAAAATTCAAATGGCCAAAAACACATGAAAAAATGCTCACCATCTCTAGCAATAAAGGAAATGCAAATTAAACCACACTAAGATTCCACCTCACCCCTGTTAGAATAGCCATCATCAGCAACACCACCAACAACAGGTGTTGGCGAGGATGCGGGGAAAAAGGAACCCTCTTACACTGTTGGTGGGAATGTAAACTAGTACAACCACTCTGGAAAAAAATTTGGAGGCTACTTAAAAAGCTAGACATTGATCTACCATTTGATCCAGCAATACCACTCTTGGGGATATACCCAAAAGACTGTGAACAGGTTACTCCAGAGGCACCTGCACACCCATGTTTATTGCGGCACTATTCACAATAGCCAAGTTATGGAAACAGCCAAGATGCCCCACCACTGACGAATGGATTAAGAAAATGTGGTATCTATACACAATGGAATTTTATGCAGCCATGAAGAAGAACGAAATGTTATCATTCGCTGGTAAATGGATGGAATTGGAGAACATCATTCTGAGTGAGGTTAGCCTGGCCCAAAAGACCAAAAATCGTATGTTCTCCCTCATATGTGGACATTAGATCAAGGGCAAACACAACAAGGGGATTGGACTTTGAGCACATGATAAAAGCGAGAGCACACAAGGGAGGGGTGAGGATAGGTAAGACACCTAAAAAATTAGCTAGCATTTGTTGCCCTTAACGCAGAGAAACTAAAGCAGATACCTTAAAAGCAACTGAGGCCAATAGGAAAAGGGGACCAGGAACTAGAGAAAAGGTTAGATCAAAAAGAATTAACCTAGAAGGTAACACCACGCACAGGAAATCAATGTGAGTCAATGCCCTGTATAGCTATCCTTATCTCAACCAGCAAAAACCCTTGTTCCTTCCTATTATTGCTTATACTCTCTCTACAACAAAATTAGAATAAGGGCAAAATAGTTTCTGCTGGGTATTGAGGTGGGGGGAGAGGGAGGGGGAGTGGGTGGTAAGGGAGGGGTGGGGGCAGGGGGGAGAAATGAACCAAGCCTTGTATGCACATATGAATAATAAAAAAAAAATAAGAAAAAGGCAAAATAGTTTCTTGCTGGGTATTGGGGGGTGGGGGGGAGGGGGAGTGGGTTGGATGGGGTGGTAAGGGAGGGGGTGGGGGCAGGGGGGAGAAATGACCCAAGCCTTGTGTGCACATATGAATAATAAAAGAAAAAAAAAAAAGAACCCACAAAATGGGAAAAAGGCTTTTTAAAATCATATTTAGAATACATAAAGAACTTTCACAACTCAAACTAAAAAGCCGACAGTTAAAAAGTAAGCAAAGGGCTTGGACAGACATTTCTCTAAAGACACACAAATGGTTAATACACCTGGAAAATGTGCTCAACATCATTAGTCTCTAGGGAAAAGTAAATCAGAACCACAGCGAGATAAGTCTTCTGCCCACTTGGATGGTTAAAAAAAAGGGCAGCTATAACAAGTGTTGGTAAGACTATGGAGAACAGAAATTGCCATGCACAGCTGCAGGATCGTAAAGTGGAGCAGTCACTAGGGAAACACTGAACAGTTACCAGTAGCCCAGCACTTCCACTCCTAGGTATATATGCAATAAGAATCAAAACTTCCACCAAACGAAAACTTGCACAATAATTTTCATAGCACAGTAACTTGCTAAGTGGATCCTGTGATGGCTTGAATAAAAATATGGCAAAGAACAAAATTAGGTATTGTCTCCTGCAATTTTTTTTTGTGATGGCTTTACTCTAAATATAAAGTTAATCTCTACTGAACCTTCCCTAGTAACTGTTTTAATTCAAACAATTAACATTCATATGAAAATAAAACAATCCCAGTATTTGAGAAGTGGAGGCAAGAGGATTAGAAGTTTGAGTCCAGCCTCAGCTATATAGCAAAAGAAACCCTGTCTCAAAAAAGCAAAAGGAGGACTGGGGATGTGGCTCAAGTAGAAAAGCATTTGCCTATAAGTGCAAGGCCCCGAGTTCAACTCCTAGCAATACCAAAAAAAAAAGGAAAAGAAGAAAATACCTATCAGTATTCTAGTCAGTGTTACAGGTACACTGAGTTCAATACATGATAACTTGGATACACTGTATTCTTTGCCTTAAATTGAAATATAGTGCAGGATATCAATAAAGGATACAGTAGCCATTAACTTCACCTTTAAGGAAAAAAAGCTTCAATTCTTAAGGGTTAATGAATCAGGAGGAAAAACCAAACTAGGTTACTGGAGTCCTCTCATGCCTATCTAAAATCCAATACTGTTACTCATCTGATAGTGATAAAATCTGTCATACCCCCAGATCCAGCTATTTCACCACTGCTGTATGTGTTGATCTCCCCAGATGGTTCAGAAGGGGTAAGTGTCCGCTTCCGATAAGAAAAAGCTATTAAAAAAATAAAAGGCACTCAGTACGGTAAAAATTTGTTACACTTTTAATAGAACAAGCACATTACTTGATTAAGTTACAACATTATTATTGAAATAAATTTGGACTTCTCTGATAAAGAAATGAACCATAAAACAGGTAAATACAGAGGTAGAAAAAGATTTCAAATACTCAGGAAGTCTTTTAAAAGCCAATTATTTAATATGGGAAAATACACTGACTCATTACCTGATGAATTTCTCAGTAAGGTACCAGGGTCACTCTCTAATCTTGAAACTAAAGGACCTAAAAACAAGCAGACAAATAAGAGTAAAAAAAATAAATCCCAAGTAAATAACCAGAGGAATCAGAATCAAGATAATGAGGCCTAAAGACAAAGCAGACAGATTAAAGTGCAGACAATCAATGATGCTCTTGCCTTTCTTTACAAAGGCCATTCAAGTTTGTAGGCTTCCCTGTTTAAAAAGGGATTTGAAGCTGGGGTGGAGCTCGGTGGTAGAGCATATGCTTGCATGCACAGGTCTTGGGTTTCATCCTCAACACCAAAGACAAAAAAGTCATTTGACAATGAGATATGCTGAAAATAGCTTATGAGGGTAAAAGTCAATCCATACCACATCTTTTTTTTCCCTTTTTTTTTTTTGATGGTGCTGGGTGAGGAGCCCAGGGCCTCTCCTTCCACCGAGCTGCACCATGAGCCCCTCACTTACTGTTAATGAGGAGCTCCAGTATACTATCAGATGCGTTGCTAACAGATAGCTCCAGACAGTGTGCAAAGCTGGACAATGCCTTGCTGCGGACAGTGGGTGCCTTGTCCAGACAACGGTCAAACATAATTTCTTGCACCAAGAACTTATGCTTGAGGAACTTCTGGAGCTCCAGGGAGGCAGTGTCGTCCACTTCTCTTTCAGGCAGCTCTAAAAGAGCTAATGCAACATCCAGGGTGAAAACTCGGTGTGGGATCTGGTAAGGCAAAATCATAAGAATGGCCATCAGGCAGGAGTAAGAAGCAAAAAAAAAAGCCTTCTGCATTCGGATCTGGCTGTCCACAGTGGTTTACAGAGCTAGGACCCAGGATATGAGGAAGTACATCTCCTACCTTGGAACTTCGTGAGTATTTGTAAAGCCAGGCAATGAATGTGGCATACTCTCCACAAGGAAGTTTACTCAGCAGCTGGACCAGGGATTGGGCTGCCATGGTGCGATACTCCGCTTTATCTATCACCTGAAACACAAAAGAAGAGAAGCTTTCTAGCCAATAACCACCTGCAGGACATCTGAGACCCATGCTATAATACAAGGTAAAAATAGTGAGCACTACTAGTTCAATGATCTTTAAGTGTCAGGTAAATGGCTAACACATTTTAGGTTTCAGATCCCTCTAAAAAATAAACTATAGTTGGGCATGGTGGTTCACATCTGTAATCTCAGCTACTCCGAAGAATTACAGTTCCAAGCCAGCTGGGGAAAAGTTAGCAGGAGACTCTATTTGGAAAACAAATAAAAACTAAAAACAAAAGGACTGAGGTGTGGTTCAAGTGGTATAGTGCTTGCCTAGAAAGTGGGAGGCCATGAATTTAATCCCCAGTACCACACACAGACACAAAAAAGAAAACTAAACTATAAGCTCTCATCGAGAAAAATGCACATACATATCTAGCATACATTGCCAGTGTTTAGGAAATCTTTAGGGTCCATAGGGTTCAAATTAACAACCATTTATCAGCTGGGCACAGTGCCACTCATCTGCAATCCCAGGGGAGGCTGAAGCAGGATAATTGTAAATTTAAAGACAATCTGAGCAACAAAATGAGTTCAATACCAGCCTGAGCTATAACAGCAAACTTTGTTAGCTAGGCAGGTTACTCTCCTATCATACCAGCGCTCAGGATGCTAAAACAGGATTATAAGTTTGAGGTCAACCTGTACTGTAATATAGACAGAGACCCTGTCATAAAAAAACAAAAAACCCAACACTTTATTTAGGAAAACATCTAGTATTAACTATAACTACTTTTAGTAATAATACACACTCATTCCCAAGAACAAATACATATATACACTTATCTTCGTTCATGTTAAAGCAAACGATACCTTGACGCAGATATGCTGCAGTAAAATACGCAGGACTGGGAATATACTTTCTTTTAGTTCATCCACAAGTGAGCTATTTAAAGGAAAAATACATATTCACTGTTTACAATACACCTAGTATTACAGCAAAACAGTAATTTTTCCCTTAACTCTGTGCTCAAAAACCACTGCTCTTATATTTTAGAAATGTTAAATGTTAAAACCAATCTACCCCCATATTTCAATAGCTGTTTCAGTAAAATAAAGGATAAAGATATACTGTGTCACAGTGGGAAAAAAAACCCAAAAAACACTTCTTATGCAGTTTTAGAACTGTCACTGACATACTGGGTCATCAGGGAAAAACAAAAATGCAATCTTCATATGGCTCTTTTCACTATTTATTAAATTTCATATTAAGATGTAGAATATACTCTTTTAGGGTAAATACAGGAACAGACTGAGACACAGTACCACCTCGTGGCAGCTCAGTGAAATGCTGGTACTTAAACTCATTTGGAACATTACTTCTCCAAACTAACCCAGGAAGAATATGCTGTAACAACTTGATCCATTTTTAGCAATGTTTATTTGTCCCATTAAATGAATATTTTGCAACTGGCAACATGATGAGCTTTCGTGGGAAAACCATACATTTCCACTAAAACATCTTAGCTGTTTAATGTTTAGAATATTCTTTAGCCAGAAAAACCTGCTCAGTGACCAGATAACATCATCCACACGCCATGTCTCCAGCCACACTGCATACTGCGGGTATCCACACACTCACATATACATACTCACCTCTCCTCTGCACCTCGGCACCACATGCCAAATAGTCAGTAAAGGAAAGAAAGAAAAGCTGAGGGCACAGCAAACATACTTTTCCCAATAAAGCTAATACAGGACTTTTAAAGTGGAGCTCAGTAATTAGTGGCAGAAAAAGTAGTCAATTAATTATTTATTGCTAAGGAAGTAAAAGCATTTGCTTTTTTATCCTTCAGGAAGTATTTTGTGTGTGGATGGATAGAAAAGTAAGAAGGAAAAAACAAAAGTAAAAAGATACAAAAAAAGAGAAACAAAAGAAACTCCTTTCACTGCTGAAGAAGCGAATACCTGAGCAGACAATGACAGAGGCAACTATCTTTTGGCCAGCTTGACCACACAGGTGGATGGACTCAAGCTGGAGGCTGGATGTGGCTGGAGAACTGCAGATTCTCTGTGTGTTTAACAATGCCCCAGCATAGTGGCTTCTAACCATGAAGAACCAGATTGGCTATGAAGTGCTTTATTTGGACCCACAGGACCAATATTCTGATGCCATAGGTGTCAGAAATTTTGGTTAGTGCAGGGCCTAGCTGACTGAAGAAAGTGATAAAGAATAAAAAGTCAAAATTTATGTGCTTCACCTGATAAACTGGACTGCCTGGTTCCTATGTCTGATGACTTGTGAAGTAATAGTTAGGGGGGCACAGTGGGACCTTTCCCCCACTTCTACCATCAGTATTACATTCAGCATTCGATGGAAAATACAACCAATAACCTGGAAGAGAAAAGGAAAGTCAATTTAAGCTACGACACAGAATCCACGGGGCTCAAGGATAGTGATGCACACTAGTAAATCATTTCAAGACATCTGAAGATAGGTCGGCGAACAGAATTTCTGGCTGAACATTAGGGATATGGTAGTAGTCTTGCAGGTATTCAATACATGCACAGTGTATCTTTATTATATTTATTTAAAACAAGTGCAAATAATGTGAAAGATCTGCTTATAAAGAACTATAAAAATGCCATCTAATTTCTCTCCCCACTCTCTGCATTTTACAACTCAGAATTTAGGACAAGTGGAGAACTGTCATTCATAAAGAGTAAAGAATGCTGATCACCTGCCTAGCAAGCATGAAGTCCAGAGTTCAAACCCCAGTATCCCCTCCAAGACTGCTAGGAATGTCTAATAATATTCCCTTCTTCTAAAAGTGGGGCTGGGGTATGAATGGTACCATAAGCTTATATTTTATCTGAAGTTCACAACGCATTTTCCAGTGTGTTAGCTCATGGAATTATTCACCTGGTAAGTAAAACCCTCACTGAAAACCAAGCAGGCAGTAGGGATCAAGCACCTCCAATATGGAACTAGATGTCACTATATTTAATTTTAAACCTCAACAGCTCTGTAAGTAAGCGGACCATGCACAATTTCACTTTACATATAATATACTCCAAAGACGAGTTGTCCAAAATCAAGTAGTTAAAGATCTGGTTCAAACCAAGGTTGCTTAATATCAAGTCAAACATTCACATTCTTTTTTAAAAAGGACATCTTCAGAGATACGGTGGACTTGTTTAATCTTTTAAAATGTTAAAAGAAAAAAGGGGGTCCCTAAACTGCTCAGGAGGTGGGGATTGGGAGGATCATAGTTCAGGGCCAGACCAGGCAAAGAAGTTCTCAAGACCCCATCTCGACCAGCAGCTGGGAGTGATAGTACACATGTGTCATCCCAGCTATGCAGGAGAGACATAAATAGGAGGATTACTTTCAAGGCTGGCCTGGACATAAAGTGAGAGTCTATCCCAAAAACAACCAACACAAAAAGGCTGGAGGTGTGGCTCAAGTTATAGAGTGCCTTCCTAGCACAAGGCCCTGAATTCAGTACCAAATACCACCAAAAACAAATAAATAAAAGGGGAGAGAGTGAAAATAAGAAACATTTCTTTGAATTATATCACATCCACATTTTGAACACACAGAAGTAATAAGGATATGATAAATTATAAAATATTGAATACTTTCAAACAACAGGCATTGCATTCAGCACCTGGCAACATATTTTCATTTAATCCTGAGGCAAATCTAGGAGAAAGGCCAGACTTGTATCCTTTTTGTTCAGAACTGAACTCTAGGATTTTTTCCCAAGGTTGGGCCTACAAGCACACACAGTAAGGGGGATCAGAATTTGAACACAGATGTGCAGAACCCTAACTATCCTCTAAGACCTAAGATAAAGTTTACTTTATAAATTAGAAACAGTAACTAACAATAAAATAGAACAATCACAACAGCATACTATATATAAAAGTTACGTGAATGTGATCTCTCTCAAAATATGTTATTGTACTATACTCTTACTTCTTACCCAAGGCTGACTGAAGTTAACTAAAATCTTGGATGAATGGGGCCTACAAATGCTTTCCACTTTCACTGTGTGGTCTGCCTGCTTTCAATGCAACTAAGAGGAAATTAGATCCTCCTCTCCCTTACCTTATTTCCTTCTCCGTGAAGTGGGGAGCACAGCAAGTACAATCCATGGTAGGACAGTTCTGGTATGTATTTGGCTTCATTAAGATTTCTAAAGAAGAAAAGGCAAAACACTGATTAATGGATATGATTTTACTAGGAATATTCTGTAATATCATAAGCCTGCTTGCTCTCTTTCTCTTTTCTTCCCTCCCTTTCCGTGCTTTCTTTCTTTTTCTCTTTATTTTAAGATACAGTCTCACTTTATTGCCCAGGTTGGCTTTAAACTTCTGTACTCAAGTCATTCTTCTGCATCAGCCTCCTGAGTAGCTGGGACTACAAGCATGAGCCAACTCAGCAGGTTTCTACAAACCATATTTAAATGAATAGATTCTACTTATATGCCAATTAGAATAAAACAATACTTATGCTTGAAGCAAAAATCATTATACTGTATTTAAATTGTAGCACTGAAAGATTTAACAGCTCACCTGGCTTGTGAAACATGAAATTCACGAAGAATTGGCTCGAAATTAGTTAATGCAACAAAGACCTGGAAAATAGATGCCAAGAAAAGGTCTCAACCACCGTCTATGCCCTGTGAAATTACCCCAAGGTTGTGGGAATTTTCCCTTACCTCTATACAAGTTTGTACACACTGTGGCTTTTCTTTGAGGGAAAACTTGGACAGAAGCCTTAAAAAATTCTTCAAAAGGTGAAATATGGCATTTCGAATTTGAGAAAGGTCCCGGGCAGAAAAATATATATTCTCTTCATCTTCTTCTTCTTCTTCTTCTATAAGGTCATCCATCTGGATTAGGAAAAAAAAAAAAATGTATAGGTGATGGTGTAATAATGCCTAACACTCTGTCCCATGGCTTTCAATTTACCCAAACCAATTAAACTTCAAGTAGTACTGAACTGCTAAGATGATGCAACTTTGACCAGGTCCCTTGACTGTTCTAGTCTCCATGACCACAGTGAGTAAATCACTGGACTACATGACTGCCATGGTAGGTTCTACCTGTGCATTTTTTTTTGTCAATGAGAACTCCCATATTTCTTAAAAGTTTCCATGTCAGTAAACTTACATTACACAATAAACTTTCATCCTGCCACACAAGAATTTGGAAATTCTGCTATTTTATGATGCTCTTAAGGACATAAGCCCTCAGGATACTTCAACCACCCTCTTTAACGACAGGAGGATAATGAGCATGGCAAGCATACCAAGTACCCTGCTGCAATCATGCTAGCTGAGCACACTGGGGAACATGTCTAGGGAGAGAAGACTGAGAAGGTAGAAAGGTGGCAAGGCAAAAATGTGCCCAGCATAGTATGTGAAGCCCAAGATGCAACTTCAAGTCATACTGGATAGCAGATGATAGTTTAGGACCTTTTGGTTACAAACATGATGCCCTGAGACCGTATTTCACATAAAGTCAATCCTAGGAAAAACTAAAATATGTTGCTGGTGTGGATATGTTTAATTATTCCACTCACTTCTTACCTCAATGTTATCTTTCTGAGGTGGTTTTCCTCTTTTCCTGTTCCTCCTTGGATTATCCTGAGAGCTCCTGGGCTGTTCTTTCTTTCTTTTCCGATTCAAGTTAGATTCCTGAGGCCAGCTCTTCTTTAGACTCTGAATGCACTTGTCAAACATCACTGGGTGGAAAATTTGATTGGCTACACTGCCTAGTCAAAAGGAACAGAGAGTAAGCAGATTAGGGGTTTTTGTTTTATTTTGTTTTGAGACAGAATCTCACTATGTAGCCCAGGCTATCCTCAAACTGGCCATTCTCCTGCCTCAGTCTTCCCAGTGCTGGGATTACAGATGGCACCAGCATGCCCAGCATGAGCAGGTTAGGTTTCAGTATCATTAAATATGTGTATTAAACAACTGATAAAAACTTAAAAAAGAAAAAGACAAAATTTTCACTAACTTCGAATAACGGCTAACCTTTAGTAAAAAACATGCCATTTTTCAATGTCAGTCTTAGGGATGACCAATAGAATTGAATGAGAAATAATAAGAGTTCCCTATCTAGCCATGACAGAGAAACTGGTTTTATACTTACCCTCTTGCTGAACAAAATGTCTAAAACTGAACATATGTCTAAAACTGAACAAAAATGTCTAAATTACAATTTAAAGACACTTGATAGCATGAAAATAAGAGAAACAAAGAGGCTAAAACTGAAATTACCCCAGTTTTATTTTTTATCTAGAGGCAATTTCTGAACAGCAGAGAAATGGTGAATCCAGGCAGGTGATAATGGTCTTGCTAAACTGAGAAATCAGAGTCAGAAAAGCAGAAGTAGGTGAAGTGTATGTGGAAAGCACTGAAAGAGGGGGAGCTACTTAAGAAAAAGAGCCCCAGATATCTGCACAGGGCTGAAGGTCAAACAAGCACACATGGGGTTCACATCATGGTGGGCAAAGAAACCAGGAGAGGAATTGTTTTCACAACTCATAGAGGGCTAAGATACATTTGACTTCTGACCAGCCACAGTAGACAGGCCTTGTCAATAAAGACTTCAAAAGAAACTCAATGAACTAGATGTAGAGTAACAGCTACCTTATATCTGCCCTAACAAAGCTTTGCAAAGAGTCTTAAAAGGATCAAGTTAATACACGAAGAGTTGTCTGTCAAAATACACTTCAACACTATTTATAGGAAAACACAAAATCCAGAACTCAATAACCTAGCCTTTAAAATTAACAAAAAAATTAATGGATATACCATTAATTAATACCAAAAAAATGATGAGAAGAAAAATCACTCAACAAGTTGGGTGTGGTGGTGCATACCTGTAATCCTAGCACTCAAGGCTGAGGCATGAGGATCACAAGCTCAAGACCAGCCTGAGCTACATAGATAGACCCTATCTCAAAATACAGGGAGGGAGAGGGGAAGAACAGAATAGAATAGAATAGAACACAACACAACACTATAGCAGGGAGGAGGATCAGAAGAAAACAAAGTAGGCTTGAGTTCTGATAAAGTAGCAGGGAGGAAGGGATGGCATAACAGAGAGATAAAACCTAAAGAATTCAAAGGTGAAGAAGGTCACATAGCGTAGAATGGCACTAAATAACTAGGTTGAAGTAGCCTATAGAACTGCATGTGACCATATATTCTCTAAACCTTGTTTTCTAAATTTTATTGCCTCTGTAGCCTGCTTGCAAGGGCATATAAGGTAAGAACCCTTTGTTCTCAGGGCTCAGCCTTTGGACATAAGTCTACTGGGTTTGTGCTGGCACAATAAAACGTTGCTTCCTGCTAAACTGCCTCAATGTCTCATATCTTGGCTAGCAACTTCCCACAACATTTCTTGGAGGCTCGTACGGGATTGCAGAGACACGGTGAGTTATCACCCCCTTGTCACCAGGGTGAGTCCCCCCAAACGGCTGGAAGGAGATCCCACCAGGTGCCAATAGACAGCTTGAGCCAGAGGCGGATTCCTCCTCCCAGCGATTTGGGGAGAGCCTTGGATGCACAATGGAACCCAGTAAGGTCCAGGAACCAGCAAGGGGAGGGGATCACCACTCATCGGACTGGTAAGAAACCAGGTTCAGAATTCAGGCCTGCCTCAGGAGGCAGAAGGGGAGACTGATCACCTCCCAGAGACCGTTAGTAACCGCCTTCTGGGGTGAAGCCATGTCTCTCAGGTTTGAGGAGTGGGGCAGAAGTACTGTGCTATGCAAAAGTGTGTTGAGCTTTTCCTGGGAAACAGTCACAACTGAGGTTAAGGGATGGATAACAAAAAATTCATTTCCAAAGGGGGGAAACTCCCAAGAGAACAGATGCATCATCCACCATTCCACTGGATAGCCCTCTGGGTTGTCTGGGTATAATTTAAACGTTTTTTTCTTTTCTTGAGAGTGCACTCTAAGTGTGTGTGTGTGTGTGTGTGTGAATTTGTTTAAAGCACTGGGAAAAATTTAATTTGCTCCTGGAATTCTAGCTCATCTTATGTGCACTCAATTTGACATTTTTTCAGGCATGCTTAATTTATAAAACTTTTTGTGTGTGTAAGCATCTTCAAAATGCTTCTTAAACTGCTGCTGTAAGGTTAATATGATACTCAAGGAAACAAACAAACAAAAAAAACCAGGGTATTTATCTTAAAGACCTGTTATAAACTGCTTAGGCTTTTTACATTTAAGTATGTAAACATCTTGAGGATGGTTCTTATAAAGTAAATGTAAAAAAATTATTACTCTGTTCTACTGCTACTTTTAAAAAAACAGGTTTTCAAACTTATTACATTCAGGTCTCACTAGGATGCAGGCATTCAGGGGTTAACACTCTGGTTTAGATACGAGGGAGGGAAAAAAAAGGGTGGAGGCTACAGTCTGCAATAGAACTCTTAAAATTGGGGTAGTTAAAAATGACCTTAGCCTGTTTCATTCTGTCATAAATAAAATCTGAGATTTAACAAATGGGCTTTCTATAAATTGTTTTTATACAAAAATAATTTTAAGGTTGCTTTCTGTTTTTTTTTCCATACAAATAAAAGGTTCTAAGTTAGAAGGTTTTATGAGTTAATTTCAACAAGTAAAGTATCAAAGATATGGTTTTTAAAATAAAAGGATAAAAAATACTTTTAAATAAAAAAAGGATAAAGACAAACTCCCCCACAAGATACAAAATAAGTTGTTACAAAGATACAGAGTAAATTGTCATAAAAAGATGGAGCTTATAGATGCTATGTAACTTATTAAATTAACTAAAATCCCAGTTACACTAAGGGTTTTGTAAGGTCAAAATTTAATGTACTGATGTTAAACTAAAACTTAATTCCCTAAGCTCATAACAACAAGGCTATCTTAAAAATCTTGTATTATTCTCTATAACATTTACAAAAAACTTGTCTTAAAAATGATTTATGTTCTGTCAAGAAAAATGTCAGGAAATTTTGGTGCTATACGTTAATCCTAAACTTTGTCAAGACAACAAGAGTTTATTAAAACACAGACAAGGGGCAGCTGAGCATAGGAAGCACTGCTGCACTGATATGAAGGTTGAGACAGATTTACTTATGTAAAGCAACGTAAAAAAAAAAAAAAAAAGCCAAAGTACACACTCCAGGTAGGATAAAGGAAAAAAAAAAAAAACTCAAAAAGGAGCACTACACTGGAAGTCAAGACCTCCAGTTTTTACGGGACTCAACAGAGTGGAAATGTTAGTCCTACTCCTTCCACATGTCAGGTGGAGGGAATTTTTGGCCTGGGATGGCCAGATTGGGCCTGTTATGTTAGGAGGGCCCCATTGATTACAGGTTGGTGGGATCCTACTGTATGTCATGAGCCATCTGTTAATGTCAACAATCTGGGATATGATCACTTATCAACATCTGAGCCATGATTCTTGGCCATTAGGTTTCCTAACTCTACACTTAGTCCCCATAAATACTTACCTGCATTCTCTAGTGATTTTTGTTGGCGTTTTTGACTAATAAGGTAACTGAGTCATGTTCATTGAAGAGTTGGTTTAGACATTATATACATGTGTGGGAATATCACAATGAAATCCTCTGTCTAATAAAAAGTTTCAGCTAAAATAGAGTAGGAACATCAATCCAAGATGGCGGCTAGAGGGAGGAAGCAGAAAGCGTGCCTCCTAAAGTAAAATCTTGGAGAGATGCTGGAGATCACCTCATAGGCAAACCCACCGAGAAGAGGTAAAACTTTGACCGCTCCACACCTCCAGCCTGTGCAGAGCATCTCCACTTCACGTTAAACAGAGAAACCAGGAGGGCCCCCGGGCTGCCGCCAGACACCAGTGCCCAGACGGCTTGGGAAGATGCAGACCACAAGGTGAGCTAAGCGGTACGTGGTACTCCCACAGTCCAACCCTGGGACAGATCAGCATAGCCCCCTGGACAGACCGACCCCCACCCAGAGAAAAAAAGAGAACCTGAGTAATAAGAAATAAGAACAATAAAGACATGTAGCAAAGAGGGTATGGAGCACTGAGCACCGAAGGGGGGCGGAGGGGAATCCTTCACAGAACTGTTAATAAACAAGCCAGGCTGGAGAAGGCAGGAGCAAGCCGCACACGCCCAGGCAACGGGCGAGGGAGCGGGCAAAGCTTGCTGCAGAGTGGCAGAGGGAGGAAAAATTTCGCCTATTCATAAGGCCCCTAGCAATCAGGAGAGTGGCGGGAAACAGACAACAACCATCTTTCCATTGATGAGCCAATCTCTCGCTGTAATTAGCAACAACTCACGCTGGGCACCTGGTGGGTGCTGCTTAAAGGGGTAATCCCTAAACAACGCAGAGCCACCGACGATCATCCAGCTAAATGTCGAGGAGTGTGGAAAAGCAGTTTGTACAAGCATGGCGAGTGGGAGAGTATGGGAGTCAACATTACCCTCACACATGCGTACGACGGAGGGGAACCGACCCACCTCCCGATGGTAGAGCTGTTAATTAATACATGCCTGTGAACACACTCTGAAGCCAAAAAAGAACTACAGTGTCGCCACAGGGTCAAGATTCCTCCCCAGTCGCCTCGCCTTGGAAAGGCCGGAAGCTGTGAGCAGCAGCCCTCACTACAGGAGCATATGCGGCAGTGAAACAAGATCCTGGCAACCCAGGACTTGCCTCAAATACAACACCTGCACATTTCCTCTCACTCAAGCACTGGAGCATTTGGTTGTCATCCTAAAACGACCTACAAAGTAGCA